AGTCATTAATAAATAGTGTACCTACTGTCTTATATTTTACAATAAGGCTCCCTTTGACAGTTAATATGTATAATTTAGTAATATAGTACAATTTTATTTTGTAAATATGTGTTTCCAATACAAAACTGTGTACATATTACTAGGTTTGTAAGCACAAACAGATTTGGCTCACTATTGGGCAAGAAATCAGACAGTTTTATCTCTTTTTCGTTCTTAATTAATCCATAATAAACATTTATTAATGATTTATTAAGTGTCTATAGATGAATAAATAACCTATTTATAAACTATTTATACGCCATCTATGAGGGGAGCCTTATTGTAAAGTGGTACCATGAAATGTATATCATTGTTTTAAAAGGACAGAAAACAATGCTAATTCATAAAGAAGAGGAACATTTATTCTGCAGCTCTCTTGCTGCAGGGAGACAGAAGCATACCTACAGTGGAACAGATAAAAAAAAGGTGTTACAAATAATAGTTTAGGCAGTGGTAGGAACATTTCATTTACCGTAGCACTTGATTAAACAACAGTTATGAAGCACAGCTTTGCTCAGAGACACAGTAAGGTAGTAGAGTTTTCTGGCAAATCGGCTGTGAAGAAACATACAAACCAACAAATGAGGTTCAGTTTACACATTCGTTGGCACATTTAAAAATAATAAAAACAATCATCGTGTCCACTCCACTGAAGTTAGTTTCTTAGAAATTAATAATGGAGGTTATTTAAATGAACTTAAAGCATGTTATTCTTTACAATTAGCATCAGTTTTGATCATATTGCAGACAGGTTAGTCATTAACGATTGTCCAGAGCCGTGAGTGCAGAGCCAGCAATGACTCCAAACTTCAACAGCCATGAATGACAAAAGAAAAAAAGAAAAATAAAAACCTGCACTGGGAGGTTTCCACTACAGAACACATCAGGTCTGCGCTCTCCTCTTTGTGACTCTCTAATTACCCTACAAAGAATTAGTAATTACATTACCTTTTTATGCAAAGCTCTGTAAAGATCAAGTTATAGATGTGTTAGTATTTTCAGTCATCAACGATTTCACTTTGCAGCTTCATTCTTGAAGAACTGTAAAGTGTTTTATGATTGAATTGTGGCAATCATGTCAGTGAAAAAAARAAATAAAATTGGACAAGTGAAATGCCCCCCACCCCCCTGGCAAGGACTCCTGATTACATTGCACTCCATAAACCTTCTGTGGACATAAAAGTCGCAAACCCTTGGAATGAACTGAAAGTGGGGTAAAGGACTAATGCAATAAAATAAAACCACTATAAACACACCCATGTGAAGACGCGAGTAAACAGATAATGGATGAGATCAACGTTTGAGACAGAAACGAGACGAAGCAGCATCAGAGTTCCCTATAATTTCATGAATATAGAATCATGTCCCCAGAACATGTAAATGTTTAGAAAGACTAATGGAACTAAAAGCATGGTTTTCTTAAAAACGCACAAAGCTAAAGTCAGAAGTAGCATAAACCCAAGTTAAACAAAGAAGGATGTCTTGAGCAGCAGAGTTAGTGTCATTGGCAGTTGAGTCAATAGCTTCCTATGAGCCATAAAGCACTGTAGTCCAAGTCACAGTCACAACAGTGGTCATCTTCCAGTCAGACCCCAAATCAAAAAAATCAGAAATAAATTGGCAACATAGTGGTGGCGATTGTTCTACACACTAATCTATCATGAGCTGATAAAAAAATAATTATCATTTTCACTCGAATGACAATGAAAGACATCTGCTTTGTTCCCCAGCATTACAGTTGTCTTGTGGCTTGTTTAGGTCCATGAAGAGTTCAAAGTAAACAGCATCTCTCTCTGAAGCTCTTCTTGCTTTTCTTGTTCTTTCCTTTCCCGTTTTTGTCCTTGTTTTCGGACATTTTCTTGCCTCGTACTTCACGCATCAGGTCAAAGAATACCTGGAGAGAAAAGGATTTTTTTTCACTTAAATGTTTACTTCCTAACATTTAAAAAAAGACACATATCTGTCATAATATCTGTCAATCAGTTGTATCAGGGGAAAACAGTGGTTTATTGCTCATAAGTATATTCTGGTTTGTAGGAATGAAAAAACGAGGAAGAACCAAGATTGCGTCACAGACATCTAATGAAGAGCCCTGGGTTGCATACCACAGACAAGCTGTATCAAGTTTTAAAGATGCCTGGATCTACCAAACTGCCTTCAAAACAAAGGCTGAATGAATTAAATACCAGATTCAATTTTACTTTTGTTCTACTTTAAATAAATTTATATACTTATGGCATAACCCCTGGGCATAACCCCTGAATTTAACTCCACTTTATCTTAAATACCTACAATTTCTGCACATTTTCTACAGGTGCTGGTCATAAAATTAGAATATCATGAAAAAGTAGATTTATTTCAGTAATTCCATTTAAAAAGTGAAACTTGTATATTATATTCATACATTACATACAAACTCATATATTTCAAATGTTTATTTCGTTTAATTTTGATGATTACAAATGACAACAAATGAAAATCTCAAATTCAGCATATCAGAAAATTAGAATCTTGTGAAAAGGTTCAAAATGGATGGCACCTGGTACCACACTCTAATCAGCTAATTAACTCAAACCACCTGCAAAGGCTTTTAAATGGTCTTTCAGTCTAGTTCTATAGGCTACACAATCATGGGGAAGACTGCTGACTTGACAGTTGTCCAAAAGACGACCATCGACACCTTGCACAAGGAGGGCAAGACACAAAAGGTCATCGCTAAAGAGGCTGGCTGTTCACAGAGCTCTGTGTCCAAGCACATTAATAGAGAGGCGAAGGGAAGGAAAAGATGTGGTCGAAAAAAATGTACAAGCAAGAGAGATAACCGCACCCTGGAGAGGATTGTGAAACAAAACCCATTCAAAAATGTGGGGGAGATTCACAAAGAGTGGACTGCAGCTGGAGTGAGTGCTTCAAGAACCACCACACACAGACATATGAAAGACATGGGTTTCTGCWGTCGCATTCCTTGTGTCAAGCCACTCTTGAACCACAGACAGCGTCAGAAGCGTCTTGCCTGGGCTACAGAGAAACAGGACTGGACTGCTGGTGAGTGGTCCAAAGTCATGTTCTCTGATGAAAGTAAATTTTGCATTTCCYTTGGAAATCAAGGTCCCAGAGTCTGGAGGAAAAGAAGAGAGGCACTTCATCCACGTTGCTTGAAGTCCAGTGTAAAGTTTCCACAGTCAGTGATGGGTTGGGGTGCCATGTCATCTGCTGGTGTTGGTCCATTGTGTTTTCTGAGGTCCAGGGTCAACGCAGCCACATACCAGGAAGTTTTAGAGCACTTCATGCTTCCTGCTGCTGACCAACTTTTTGGAGATGCAGATTTCATTKTCCAACAGGACTTGGCACCTGCACACAGTGCCAAAGCTACCAGTACCTGGTTGAAGGACCATGGTATTCCTGTTCTTAATTGGCCAGCAAACTCTCCTGACCTTAACCCCATAGAAAATCTATGGGGTATTGTGAAGAAGAAGATGCAATACACCAGACCCAACAATCCAGAAGAGCTAAAAGCTACTATTAGAGCAACCTGGGCTATCATAACACCTGAGCAGTGCCACAGACTGATCGACTCCAWGCCACGCCGCATTGCTGCAGTAATACAGGCCAAAGGAGCCCCAACTAAATACTGAGTGCTGTACATGCTCATACTTTTCATGTTCATACTTTTCAGTTGGCCAACATTTCTATAAATCCTTTGTTTTTATTGGTCTTCAGTAATATTCTAATTTTCTGATATGCTGAATTTGAGATTTTCATTTGTTGTCATTTGTAATCATCAAAATTAAACGAAATAAACATTTGAAATATATGAGTTTGTATGTAATGTATGAATATAATATACAAGTTTCACTTTTTAAATGGAATTACTGAAATAAATCTACTTTTTCATGATATTCTAATTTTATGACCAGCACCTGTATATAAAGTATAATGTGTGAGCAGTAGCACCTTGTCCACATTGGCTCTAGTTTTGGCTGAAGTCTCTACGTATTGGACGCCCCACTCTTCAGCTTTCCCGCGGGCCTCATCCACGACCACCTGCCGACGATCCTCCAAGTCGGACTTGTTGCCTACCAGCAGGAGCGGGATCTTGTCCTCCTCTGCCTTCACCCGCAAGATCTGCTCCCTGCCAGCACAGAACAGCTTGTGTAAATGTAGCGGCACTTTCAAAATCTTTAAAGCATCAGGCATTTTACTAAACAAATCCAGGAGATGTCGAACATTGTTTTTTTTTTTTTGTTTGTTTATTGATCGGCTCATTTTTGGCAAAGTATGAACCCCTTGTAGAACATTATTTTTCCATCATGTGGCAGACGGCAAAGAAAATATTTTCTTGACTAATACATCAAAGAAAGCAACTCAAATGGCTGCAACAGTTTGATACTAGATGGAGATTTAAAAATGAGAAAATTGTGAAAAAATTGGCAAATTATCGGCAACAGTGTATTCCAGTCAGCAGCAAGCCATAAAGTTGAATTTTGGGCAGCCAAATTGTGAAAAGCAAGGTCTATTTTTGTGTTCATGGCTTGCAAAACTATTTTCTAGGCCATGCGCTTAAATTTGACCACCTGCACTTCGCAATCCTACCCACCTTGTTTATATGTATTTAAGCACCAAACGGAAGAGTTGCATAGAGTAAACAAATGGTAGGCTATTGGTGAGGTAAGCGTGCAACCTCTGACCTCTAAGGGACACCGACCTGTTATTGCTCAATCAGCCGCAGGAAAATTTCACTAAACTTATAATTTTTTTTCCCCCACTTACATGGCAAGGCAGGCCCTTCAACTGGGGCAGTACACCTGTCATAACAGGTGACATAAGGAGGAGAGCTCAAGGAGAAAACCTCCTATTAAACAGAAGGAAAGTTACAGGGGAATTTTTTTTTCTACGAACAAACAATGCATACAGCATCATGTTACAAATACCGGCACATACTTCTATACAGTAGCAAATAAAAAGGAATGGTGGCAAATCACACACACAAAGATATACAGCACCTGGCAAAAAGTATGGAATCACCAGTCATGGATGAGCACTCATTCAGACATTTCATTCTGTAAAACAAACTCAGATCAAAAACATGATACAATAATAAGGTCAATCCAAAGTGCAACTTGTTGGCTTTCAGGAACACTCAAAGAGATGAAGTGAAAACATTGTGGAAGTCGGTGAATGTTACTTTTATTGACCAAGCACGGGAAAAAATATGGAATCACTCAATTCGGAGGAAAAAAGTATGGAATCATGAAAAACAGATTAACGGTTCTWACAGTTCGGTCACATACATTGGCTCCAGCTTCCTCCCATTTCTGCTTCATCTGTGTAGTTTTACTTTTTCGTTTTCAAGACAAATGGCCTAAAGTTGTTTGTCTCGACACTTTGATGTCTTTCTTGGTCTACCAGTATGCTTGGCTTTAACAACCATTCCATGCTGTTTGTATTTGGTCCATATCTTGGATACAGCTGACTGTGAACAGCCCACATCTTTAGCAACCATGYGTGAAGAGTTACCTTCTTCAAAAAGTTTCACAATCCTCTCTTTTGTTTCAAGAAACATTTCTCTTGTTGGAGCCATGGTTCTTGCCACTCCACTTAGTCCAGCAGCCCTCCAAGGTGTCATGACTGCAGGTGTTTCTAACTGCAGACTAACGAGCAGATCTAATCTGAGGCAAGTGTCCATTTAGGGAAAGGAAATTGACTGGTTGCGTTCTTATTTTCTACCTCCAATTTGAGTGATTCCATACTTTTTTCCTCAGAATTGAGTGATTCCATATTTTTTCCCTGTGCTTGGTCAATAAAAGTAACGTTCACTGACTTCCACAATGTTTTCTCTTCATTTCTTTGAGTGTACCTGAAAGCCAACAAGTTGCACTTTGGAATGACCTTATTATTGTAACATGTTTTTGATCTGAGTCTGTTTTACAGCAGGGGTGCCCAAACATTTTCCCTGAGAGGGCCAAAATGAAAATCTATCCAGGGCTGTGGGCCAAATGCAGTAATATAATACATGAAATACGAATGCTTTTAAAGTAAAGTCCTTTATTTTTAGCGATTATGCTATGCAATGGCCCTCTTTTGTTTAAGTCTGTGCGCTTGGATTAAGTCTGCCATAGCAAAGGCTCATGGGATATATCATAAATTGATAAAATATGAGATTTTGTGGCCTTATAAAGTGTGCAAATCTACACGTGGGGTTAAATCTGATCTAAATATTTATTGTTGTCATTTCATGTTTCATGTTTAATCCTAATAAATCAAAGCTAAAGTCAACAGCATGAATGAAAACTACCTTCACTACAGCCCTTTTATTTAGTCATCTGACCAATGGAAATACTGTGTTTCTACCTAGAATAACAGGTTACAACCTTTTAACTTCGGCAACTGTTGGTGGGCCGAATCAAATGGCTTGGCGGGCCAAATTTGGCCCGCGGGCCCATCTTTGGGCTCCTCTGTTTTACAGAATGAAATGTCTGAATGAGTGCTCATCCAAGACTGGTGATTCCATACTTTTTGCCAGGGGTTGTAGTACTACAGAAAAGAAAGTCTTATAGGTGACACCAACATAAAATCTACTCATCTGACTGTGTTCAAAGGGCAAAGCTTTAAAAGGTGTCAAATTACCATGCTTGCCTTATTGCATAATTACCTGAACTCCTCAGTGGCACTGAAGGACTCGTGCTCGGTTATGGAGAAGACTAGCAGGAAGCCCTCCCCGCTGCGAAAATAATTATCCCTGATAGCAGCATAGTCCTCCTGGCCAGCTGTGTCTAGGATATCGATTTGGACTTCCTCCCCATCCAGGACAACCTTCTTCCTGTAGCTATCTGCTTTGGTGGGCTCGTAATCTTCGACAAACTAAAGAGAAGATTTATTCTAGTTATTTTATGAGTTTGCAAACACATGTATGTTATAAACACAGCCCACCAGCTGCATCTCTAAGTCAGCACATTTAGAAAGCAGGTGGAAAACAAATGGAGAGAAAAATCAGTTATAATGCAGATTAGGAGAATTGAATTGCAGCACTTAATGAAGCATGTTTTATCACATCTTTATATATAATTTTTCTTTCCCACTCAATAAAAGGGGCTTAGCTTTAACTAGCAGAACACGTTTGCAGGTGCCTGCTGTATAAACTCACCTCATCATACATGAACTGCAGCGTGAGCGCAGACTTCCCAACACCTCCACTTCCCACCATTATCACTTTGTGCAAAGCCAGAGAGCTCTGGTTTTTACCTTTATTGGTAGCCATGGCCAGAATCTTCTTGTGTCTTTCTTACACTCTCAAACACATGTGCACACTCACGCAAACAGGCACCCACACACACACACACACAGACACAACCTGTGAATGATAAGAGAAGTAAATTAGCAGCGCCTTCAGTAAATAACCTCTAAGGACAACCCATAAGAGAAGTAAATGGACAGATGGCGGTTGTTACTTAACTGCACTCACTGTGACAGTAACACACCGTGCCAAGGCTCTAGGCTGTGCTCCAACAAATCTTGAATCTTAACCCCCATCATTCCCATCTAGGTGCCAAATTGCCTACTCGTGAATCCGAGAACTTTATAAAGTTCGCCATCAAAAGGTCACTGCGACTGATCAGAAGTAATGAAGCCATCATTCTACACAGCGAGGCAGCATTTACAGACGCATTAAAACAGGGAATCATGTGCTAAACACATTAAAAAAAAGGAAGAAGTGACTGGCCATCTATCTGCTTTAAAAGGGCCCTGCCCTCAAAAGGTGAAAGCTCGGAGTCAATTGCTTTTAGCCTGACTTCGATATATTCCATCTCTGTCAGTTATAACTTTATAAAGAGTGTCCAGCTGACTTCACTGAAGATGCCTGCTTTATCAGAAACTACAACTTACCTGGATGGACATTAAAGAGTGCCAAGCTCCAGGGTTTAAATCCAAGTCTGTCACAATATTTGATTAATCGTGTGTTTAAAATAATTGGCTAGCTGCTGGGTGAAACTAACACAAGTCTTGTGTTTTGTCATTGTTTTTTTAAGCATGTGGCAGCTGTGACTGTAAAAAAATGGCAATGGTTACAGTTTTTGAATGACATCATCTGTTTGCCTTCCTGTCTCGTGCTGTGGACAGTTAGTTGTGGAAAACTTTTGTTTTAACAGACTTAAAGGACAAACAATTTTTTTTAAATTGCTCCAGTACGTTTGTTGTAAAGATATGGTAAATAATTACATTTAGTAGGTTTGCAGCATTTTTTTGTTTGTTTTATAAATATAACAAGTTGCCTACTTCAATTTGCAAGTGTGACAATTTTATGTAATTAAAACCACTAACCTACAACAAACTGTGACCAAGATACTCAGGTTTGTTAATTAAATCTTTAATAGGTGAAAGCAAAGAAAGTTCTGTGCAAATTTGGACCTTTTCATGAAAATTTGCTTATTTCTGCTAGTTTGTCAAAAAACATCTTGGTGCTGCCCACTATGGGTTGAACTGTGGCTACTTCAGCTTGGTACACGCTTATGTAATAGTTAGCTATTATAAGCATGTACCAAGCTGTAACATTTGCATGTACCAAGCTGCAATGCGCTGAAAGTTTGTTACCGTTTTGAACATTAGCTCGTGTTAACAATGATGCTGCTAACATCACTGTCCTCCATTGCCTCGGCAGCACCAGCTTCCTGCTAGGTGAGTCGGCACCTTGAGCCAGCAGCCCGAAGGCTCAGACCTGATGGGCTCAACAACCTCCCTCAACCTCTGGTGAGAGGGGTGAAAAAAATAAAATAAAATAAAATGTCCACATGCTGCGTTGCTCTGGTTACTCTCCATGTTTCAATGGACATGCATGTTCAGAAATGAACCAGGTACAGGAAGGAAAAGACGTGGAGCAGAAATCAGCTGTGCTTGAAACGCAGCACAATGCATGGACTTCTGCCTCATCTCAAAAACAAACTGAAAGAACTTAGATTGGGGATCCTCTCTGTAAACTACGGTAACCACAAAGCTGCTGTCCTGCATCATCTTCAATATTCCCTCTGTAATAAATCTGATTGTTGATGTTAAATCCTGCGAGTGAGGTCATTCGCCATCAATTTATCATTACTGAGCCACACAAAGCTGAAGCTTCTGATTCCAGACATGACTAAAGGGAAATTCCACCTAACGTTCTACTAAACTAAAGCATCTTTAATCTGCTCTAGTTTAAAAAATGTAAATATTTAGACATGTCAAACCTGTACTAGATTATTTTACACTAATAGCAGAATATTTAAAACCAAGTAGAGTAGGGCTGGGCGATATGGCCCAAAAATAAATCTGATTTTTTTTCATCCCAAATTCGATTTTCGATTTTAATCGAATTTGCTTCCCACTTAACGGAATGCCTCTGTTTCAGGTGTCGAAACTAATTTGTARCAAGAGCCTTCAAACAGATTTTGCAGTGAGGTGTTTGTTGCTCCAAGTCCAGGGTTGCAAAACCTGCAGTTCCAGATAACTGAAGAAACAGGGCCTTTTTTGAGAAATAGGTCCTCTTTGCTAGCTGCCACATTGTCATGTCGTGTACCAAACGCCTTGAGGGACAGGTGGGGTGACGTCTGAACTACAGAAGCCCCAAAGAGTGCACTGGTGGGGGCGGGGGGTCTCCATTTTCCCAAAATTAAATCTTTATAAATGACAAATTGAATTAATCAATTAAATTGACTTATCACCCAACCCTATGTTTAGCATTAGAT